CCATCAAGTTTGCCCTCAAGGCCCTCCAGTCCGACACCTCACTCCTGTACGCACCATCACACACACACACACACACACACACACACACACGACACAGGAAAGCAGTGCTGACGTCATCATTGTGTGCCGGCGCAGGTTCGATTGGCAGCGCGTGCAGTGCACGTTGCTGCAGCGGCTGCACACGGAGTCGCACCACACGTGCATCAAGCACCTCCTGGCCCTCCTGTTCGTGTTCCCCGTCCCGCTGCCCGACAGCGTGCTTCTGGGCGACGCCGCCGTCGGCTCCGCGCTCGACACACAGACCTTCTTCGCGCACCTGCGCGGGCTGCTCGACCGATGGCCCAACGGCGCGACCCGCGAGAACATCGTCTCCCACATGGGCGTCTACCTTTCCCAGGTGCGTGTGCGCACACACGTGTGCGGTGGTGCGTGTCATGCGTGTGCGGTGGTGCGTGTCGTGCGTGAGCGAGACTGGATCGCTGACAGGCGGACGCAGCTGCTGGGCAGGGCGGAGGAGGCGCGGGAGAAGCTCGGCGCGGGGGCGCTGAGGGACATGCTGTTGGTGTGGTCCGGCATCATCCAGCAGCAGTGCTCGGTGCCCGAGATGGAGTGGACCTTCCGCCTGGCGGTGGCTCGCTCCATCCACGCCTCGGGCATCTGCGACTACAAGCCCGGCACGTGGGCGGAAGCTTGGTACGTGCCCCCTCCCCGCGCGCTTCATCGCACACGCACACGCATACGCACACGCACGACGCGTTCGTCTTATACCCGGGTGAGTGAATGAGCAGGCAAGGAGGTCGAGCAGGCACTCGAGCAGACTTCGCTGACCGCGTGGGCGATCGTTGTGCGCCTGCTCGAAGACGACGACGACACCGTGCGCGACGAGGTACACACACACACACACACACATGCACGCACGCACGCACGCAACTAACGCTCGACATGCACACATATCAGGCGGCGTTCGACGTCAGCGTCACCGTCTTCGCCACCTTTGCCTCGTTCTCGCCCGCGTCCGCCCTCCTCTCGCCCACCGCCGCCTACGAGCTCGCCCTTGCCTACCTCTCCGAGCACACTTCCTCCGCACCGCCATCCGGGCCTCAGTCCCGCCCACCATTCCCCCGTATCCCTATCTCGGTACAATCGCGCGCAGATTGTGTTGAGAAGCGGCGGCTCAAGGCGGAGAGCATCAAGGACCTGCTGCAGCACTTCCAGACCTCGCCCTACTCTGCCTCACCGAGATCCCCGTGCTCCAGTGCCCTACTTCCGCAGCCAGGTGGACCACGTGAGCGAGGCCGAGCTCTACCGCATGTCGTGCCCGCTCGAGCCCCACTCGCGCCAGCGCGGCGCCTCCCATCGTCACCGCGCCTCACGAGGGTACCCTCGCCCCCCCACACACACACACAGCCACCTTAACCATTCCCTCTGACCCCGTGTGTGCCATGTGTTCGTGTGCCGTGTGTGCGCACGCAGGATGGCCGACCAGCTGAGCACGTCGGGGGCGCTCGATCTGCTGGAGTCGTCCGACCCGGGCTGGCCGACCGCCACGACCGCCTCATCGAAGACCGCGAGGGCGTCCGCGCCATCCAGACCTACACCAAAGAAGTACGTGCGCTCTTTTGTGTGCGTGTGCGATGACGCGTGTGCTGACGCGCGCGAGTGTCGTTGTGTGTGTGTGTGTGTGGTGTGTGTGTGGTGTCTGTCGAATTTTGCAAACGACAAATTTTGCACAATGGAGTTGTTGCAACAAATATTACTCTGCAGACAGCAGTGGCGTGTATCGTTTGCGGTTAGGAACGCCGCACCACAGGCTGGTTACGATGCATCATCATGGCTCGGGGCCGGTCAGCGCTGCACTTCCCCTAATCTCAATGGAAAGTTGCGATTCTTTGAAAGAAGAGCCAATTACTGACTTAACTTCGATGCCACCTTCAAGGCGGTGGTCCTGGCCAAGTACGGCGACCCCCCCCCCACACTCCCAACGCGTTGGAGACTGCGCTGAGCCTCTCCTCTTACGATGCTGCCTGCAGGGTTGGTGGACGGGCACACGCGCGCGCGCGTGTCACCCCGTGTGGGCCGGCGACCACGAGTGCACGAGTTCGCGATGAAGCTGGCGGGTGCCACCCGGCCGACATGGACATCCACCACAATTTCTTCGGCCACACCCGCACCGCCACTGAGGAGGAGGAGGAGCTGCTGGGTAAGTGTGTCGTGCGTGTCGTGCGTGTCGTGCGTGTCGTGTGTGTGCGTCCAGCACGCCTTGGTTGCAACGATCATCACCCTTTCTGACTTGAATCGTTGTGGACGGGGTCCCCTGTAGTAATAGGGTGCCTGCAACGGTTGAACTGCATGCTACATGAACGCCGGAGAGCGCGGTGGAGAGCTTGGTGCGCTCAGCATCAGGCCACCTCGAGCGAGTACGGACCCGCACCTTCGCACTCCCTTCGCCTTTCGCCGGCTTCAGCGGTGTGGTCGGCGGTGTGGTCGGGGGGGGGGGGATCACCATCAACGCTCCTCCTGACGGTACCGTCATCGAATGCAGGTGGAGCGATGAAGGCAGGTTGCGGTCATGGCCAAGGTCGCGACGTTCGCCGTGCTCCTGCCCACCACGGCCTACATTTTACGCTTTGGAGCACCCGCCCGCTCGCAAGATGCTCGAAGCCGGTAAGCCCCTGGGTTCGAAGTGCAGTGTGCGTCGTCATGGTGGGTGGGTGGGTGGGTGGGTGGGTGGGTGGCCTGACATGGATGTGGTGCGACCAACAGGTGTGCCGGTGGCGCTCGGCAGTGACTTCAACCCGAACGCGCACCACACATGTCGATGCCGATGGGAATAATATGAACATGGCGTGCGCCAACACATGCGGATGACGATGAAGGAGGCCCTCGTGGCTGCCACCATCAACGCTGCCGGTACTGCACTGCTCATTTCCCTCCTCGTTGGCTGGTGCTTAGCGGCGGCGGCGGCGTCGGCGTGGTTGTAGTGGGTGCCCATTAACAGGTTCGAGTGCGACGCACGGCCGACGGCGAGGACAAGGTGAGCGTCGAGGGCCTCCTGTGCGCCTCCATCGGCAAGAAGGGCGGCGCCAAGGGCGGCGACGAGCAGGGCTCGTGGGAGTGGAACGAGAGCCTCTACGAGTTCGTGTGGAGGCCCGACCTAGCCCTGCTGGTCCACGGCGCCGACGGCCTCGTCGCGCAGGCCGTGCCGCCGACCGACGCCGCGTGGGACGACGAGCCCGAGCGCGTGGCGCTCGCCTACCTGCGCCGCGTCGCTGCCTCGTTCGAGGCGAGCCCCGAGAAGCGCGAGCGCATCGTGCCCCTCTACCGCCCGCTCTACGACTGGCTCGAGGCCACCGTGCGCGCCACGGCCGAGCAGGCCGCCGCCGAGAACGTGCCCGCCGAGGAGGAGCTCCAGGCGCTCAAGGACGAGAGCCTCGTGGTGCACCGCATCGGGTACCACCTGGAGGAGATCCTGCTGGGCACCACGGACCCGCTCTCGTTGCTGTTCAAGGACGACACGGTGTACCGCGTGTACGAGAAGGGTCCCACCTTCTACCGGGCCAACCAGATCCTCGGGCAGGCGCTCGACCTGGACTGCCCGCTGCCCCACAATGCGCCCCTTGTCGGCTTCTCGCGCGTGATGAAGAACGAGCGCCCGGGCATCAAGAGCTGCGTCGTCGACGTCTACCCGCGCTTCACGCCCGCGCAGGTGGCGGCCAGCGTCTTCGAGGCGCTCGCGTCGCCGCACGTGCGCGACGAGGAGGAGCTCGTCGTGCGTCAAGGCGCCGCCGCCTCCGAGCGGCCGGTGGTGCACGTGCCGCGCGTGGCGGCCAAGAAGGTGTCGGCCGATCTGGCGTCACGGCTTGCTGGAGGTGGGCAAGGTGGACGGGCGACCTGCTCATCGTCAACGCGCCGCGTTGGGAGCATCTCATCTCCCAGATGGCGGATCCGCCGCTCGAGAGCACGCGAACGTGGAGGCTGGCTGCAGCGGCGTCATGTTGCGCTACAGTCGCAACGTGGCAACGCGTTCACGTTGTTGTCCGGCACCTCCGAGAGCAGCAGCGGCAACACGTCGATCACCGTGGCGGTACCGGGAACGTGATCAAGGGCAGCAAGATGCACCACAACACATGGGCACCCCCCGACTTCGAAGTGTCGGGCGCGCGCAACTTCTGCTGCTGCTGCTGCTGCTGCTCCCACTCTCGGCCTTCCTGGCCATCACCCTCGAGTCGATGACGGCACCTCGCTCACCCTCGACGGCGACGTCATCGTGGCCGGCAGCTTCTACTGGTACGGCGGCGGCGGCTACGTCAGGGCGCCGGCAACCTCATCCGGCCGTGCGCAGAACCTGGTTTCAAAAAAAAATAAAGAAAAATGTTATTATGGGTGTCGGCAGCAAATGGAACGCGAATGGAATGTGTGGGCGGAGGAGCCGGGGAGTGGAATGTGGAGGGAAAACGGGCGAATGGCTGGCTACACCCACGTGGGTGCACTCACCAGACCCGCGCGCGCGAGGGGGTAGGGGCACACTTGGCGCTGCACTTGGCCAGCCACAAGAGAGAGCTCTAACACAACCGGTTATGGCGGCGGCGGCGGCGATGGGTGGCGGCGGCGGCGGTGGCGGCGGTTATGGATGGAGGCGGTGGCGGCGGTTATGGGTGGAGGCGGCGGCGGCGATGGGTGGCGGCGGCGGCGGTGGGGGCGGTTATGGGTGGAGGCGGTGGCGGCGGTTATGGGTGGAGGCGGCGGCGGTGATGGGCGGCGGCGGCGGCGGTTATGGGTGGCGGCGGCGGCGGTTATGGGTGGTGGCGGCGGCGGCGG